GAGGGTCGCCGAGGGCCCCGCCGAGAGCGGGAGGCCATGGACGAGCAGAGTGTGGAGGTGAGGGGCGTTGCGGAGGGTGGCGGCTGGGCTCCTCGCCACCAGGGAACCTTTTCTATTCGGGGCGCCATGCTCTCGCCCTCCCTGTGGGAGGCAGCCTCTGCCGGTCGCCGAGGGAGGCTGGCCCTGTGCTTCTGCTGCCCTCGGGGTGCCCTCGGGGTACCAGGTGCTGAAGCTGTTCCGCAGTCAGGTGCTGGGAGTTTGCAGCGATGCCTTGGCACCTCTGCTGGTCCCTGTTTGCACGTTGAGCTTTTCCAGAGCAAAAGTGCAAATTCATCGGAAGGACTTGCCCTGCTTTCTCGCCACGACTTGCTCGGAATAATTAAACATTTTTTTTCATCCTCAGATGTACATTTTGTAATACACACAGCTTTCTCATACTCTACTGTCTTAAAGACTGGTTTCCAGCCTTGATTCTTGGAAGATGACTTCATGGTTGGGAAATTTCTATAAAGGCTTGCAGCGTCTAAAATGATTGCTTTTTTTTTTTGGAATACAATATGCTATGTAGTAATAATTAAAATTTGAACCTTTCAGACACTAAAATACTACATAATTTTGCTTTTAAAAAGCAAGGGGACCCGGCGTTGGTGGTGCACACCCTTAATCCCAGCACTTGAGAAGTAGAGGTAGTAGGATCTCTGTGAGTTCAAGGCCAGCTGGTCTGCAGACTTAGTTCCAGGACAGCCAAGGCTATACAGAGAAACCCTGTCTCGTAGAAGGAAAAAAAAAAGGGGAGGGGGTGACTTACTGAGAACTGTGCTTGAGATTAACCCGGCTCATCCAATGGTCTTAGAGTCCACTTCTGTCAGGTTCTGGCTTGCAGTCATGATTAGTATCATGTGTAATTTTCTATTTAATTGCTTTTGTGAAAGTTGTATAAAGGTTTTGCAAACTTTTCTTGGTTTCAGGAGGGTTTAATTCTTCTGGGATGAAGTAAAAACAAACGTCGTACTGCAAAAATAAACTTAAAATATACAATAACTATATTTAACAGTATTTTTAATTTTTTTTAAAAAATTTTAACCAAAATTCTGATAGGGATTATAGTTAAGAATGAGGCATTATTTGTCAAGTAAGTGTAAATGCTGTGTGAATTTTTTTCTTACTTTGTTGAGACAGGGTCTCACGGAGTAGCCCAGGGCTGCCTGGGACTCACTATGTAGAGTCTCAGACTGGCAGAGATCCAACTGCCACTGCCTCCTGAATTGCTGGTATTAAAGTTGTGCACCACTGTGCCTGGTCTTGATTGAAGTCTTTTTATCATGGTCTTTACTCTTTCTTGACTTAGTGTAATTTGGGAACTGTACATCTTTCGTTTTCAGAGCATTGCTGAGGTTTTCCGATGTTTCATTTGTATGGAGAAATTGCG